AAAAAAATAGATGCATCTGTTGCTTATTTACATTTACCAGTATGGTCATCAAAATCGATTATTAATCTTAATGATTATTGTCGAATTTTTGAAAGTCGATCTAAATTGTATGTATTTCATTCATTTTTTTCTTACTAAGTATTTTTGAATTATAGATTGGCAAAAGAGAATTTTGCACGAATGTTAGAATCATCGTCGTCTCCGTATGATACATTTCTAAATAATTCAATTCAATTAGTACAAATGGCGAAGGTAAAAAAATCAATCGTTCTATTATTGATATACATATTCTTTCTTCAGGCTCATATGGAATCATTTTTAATACGATCATTCTATGAACAAGTAAATAAAGCTGATCAACATCCATCAATTTCATTCGTACTTCAACAACTTTTTTACGTATTTGCTATACATACATTACGTAATGAATCAATAGATTTCATTCGAGTTAGTAGATTTATATAATTAAATTTATATATCGATTTAAATTCTAGTTAAAATTATTATCACCTGATCAAATCTATGATCTTGAAACTCGTGTTTTACCTGATATTTATACACGACTTCGTCCAAATCTTGTTGCTTTAGTCGATGCTTTTGATTTTCATGATAATGAAATTGGTAAATATTTAAAATTTTTCTTTTTTTAAAAATTAATTTATTAAATCTAGATTCTTGTTTGGGACGATATGATGGACAAGTTTATGAAGCGTTACTAGAACGAGCTCGACTCAATCCATCCAACAGATACAAAGTAAAGAAGAATTATTTTTAAAATAAAAAATAAAAATTCTCTTTTATCTTTTTTTAAGGTTCCTCCAGTATGGGTATCATTAAAACAAGGAAACTTATCTAAACTCTAGATTTTAATTAACTGTTTTTTGATAAAACATTGATTTTTATTCCTAAAATTTTACTATTTTTTATGTAACGAGATACTCTTTACCTTTAATAAAAGTATCTATTTCGATATTAAATGTAATTATTATAAAGATGTGGGTGAGAGTCGCAGTGATAGACAAACTTCGGCAAGACATAAGACAGAAATAAAATGAACTGATTCACTTAGCTATATATGAATAATTATTTTGATTAAACTCAAATGTACTTTTTTCTTGATCAAACGTGAAAGAAAATATTACTCATACAATGTACTTTCTTGTTTCATCACGTCGAAATAAATTGGCTTGAAATAATGTATCTTCATTTTTCTTCTTACAATGGCTACAACACTGCAATTCACATCTTCATTTTTACTTAAGAGAATCTATAAAAATTAAACGACAGTTTTTCAATTTGTGTGTGCATCCATATGAGTTATTTAAAACAGATTCGATTAAATTTTTTATATGTAAATTCATGTATAATAATGGTTAGTTTAATATTTTCAGTGTTAATTTATAAAAAAA